GAAAACGAAGTCTGATAACACAACCAACTTTTTTTTTTTTTTTTTTTTATCATCTCAGCCGCTCACACCCGCAGGAGTACGAGCTGTGTAGGCCCCGACGCGGCCCTGCATCGCCTCCGAAGAATTTTCGGGAATTTCGGGAAAATATATATATTCAGTTCTGGGCAGTTTCCCACGTAGTTCTAACAATTGAGAGAAAAATGCTGAGGGGCCAGAAACTACTAACTCAGGTTAAAGCAGGAAACTAAGCTGAACCAGGTTGGGGATTTGGGTTCCATTTATTTGTTATAAATTATAATGTTAAAAATCTAAAAGAAAGTTGACATGTTTATGTAATGTACATTTTTAAATTTAAATTCATCGTCCAGCTGCTGCTCTGCAGAATTCTCTCCCCAAGAGCTGAATCACGCCATCTAGTGGAAAAACAAAAATGGCGCCGGCAACGCTTTCAGCGAATGTCTGTGATTTTAAAGTAATTTTGAGCGATAAATAATTGATTTATTTATTTTTTTGCGATTTGCACTCTCCCAACAATAAAAACTACTTGCCCTGGGCGATCGTTAACATTGAGGCCTGCAGTGTGATGAACCTCAACTCATGTCATTGTTTCCTGCATCTGTAAGCCCTGATCAGACTATCGTTTGTCGTATCCACTTCCCAAAAGCCGACCATATCAAATAAATTCACCAAAGTCTGTCTTCGCCTGATTTTCTGCAAACTTCCTGAATGTTACGGGTGCCGCCATGTTGGTTTGCTTGTTTACCTCTAGAGAGCAGTAGTACCGTATATCATCACTAGGGGGCGAGGAACCGTGCTAGCGTGGCGTGTAATTTATAAGGAACCGAGCTCGGCACGGATCGGTTTTCAGAGGGTAGTGTAAACTAAAATATTGGAAAGCACCAGAAATATGTTTTTAGAGCTGTTTTTCCTTTAATTAGCTCGGAAACTAAATTTTTTAATATCACTTTTTTTTTTCATAAAATAATACCCTGCAGGAAAAAAAATCCCTGCTTCAGTTATATATTTTATGTTTTTTTTTTTCTTCCTTATTTTAAAAGAATCCAAATGAGTTATTATGTATTATAGTATCGATTAAATTCATCATCCAGCTGCTGCTCTGCAAAATTCTCTCCCCAAGGAGAGAAAAATCACACCATCTAGCGGAAAATCACGCGGCTTTTTCAAATCACGCGAGAATGTGTACAAAACAACAAAAATGTTGCCGGCAACGCTTGTGGGTCGTTTTCATCGAATGTCTGTGATTTAAAAGTAATTTTGAGTGATAGATAATTTTGTTTTTGCGATGATTGCACTTGCCCGGCGGGAAAATGCAATGAAATTTTTACTCTCCCGACAATAAAAACTACTTGCCCTGGGCGATGGTTAACATTGAGCCCTGACTTTGACTGCGGCATGCATCAGACCATTCTGCTTCATTACGCTTTGCTCTGCGATGTCCACTGAAAGTGATGGATGTCAGAGCGAAGCGGTTTGCATGCAGCTTCCTGTCTTAAAGCCTCATCTATTCTCAATTGATCGTGGTTCTTTAAAATACGCATCATGATCGGGTTATTTCATTAAGGGCCAGTAAGTCACAGCCGGTGAATAAAAATACT